TCATGGAGGCCCCTTGGAGGGAGGTGGGTCCCGGAGGCCCCTTGGAGGGAGGTGGTGTAGGACCCGTGCCTTCTTTGTTCTTCACACTGACTTTCTTTTTGATCCACCTTGGAAACCTCTGGGTGACCTCCTTTGTGGTGGGGAGGAGGGTACAGGAGGTATGTGAACAGCATGCTCTTGGTGGCCCTCCCCGCGGGAATATCCCACCGGGCTCTCTAAACCTCTGCTTGAACTTGCCTCTTTCTCATCATTTATCAAAATGTGGGTGGTTTTATGTAAGTTAGGAAATAGGACCTCGGACAATAAATCCTACCTGGAGCAAGCCTGGTGGCCTCCTAGCTCTCGTGGCTGTTTGCTTTTGTCACCTCGGGGAAGTGATGTGGCCCAGCCCTGGGGACTTCCTGTGTCCTGGGGATGTGCCCCTCCAGAAGGGCCTCGGTGTGCTTCCCCTCCCCTCCGCTCCCCGCCCCGAAAGCCCCCCGGGTTCCTCCCTAGGTCTCAGCTTCTTCCCTAAGGAGCTCGTGGTGCTGGCCGCCCTCACTTTCTCTGTTCTCCTGGGGGCAGAGAGCATGGCAGCCTGCCCAGTCGCAGGCCCTGCTGGGGGTGCGCAGTCCTGTCCTCTGGAAGGGTTCAGTGTTCACAAGTCACAGACCTCCTGTCCAGAGCCGTGTGCACCCCCTACACCTGCACCTGCAGTTCAGGAGGGTCTGCAGCCCTCTGAACACCCCCAGCCTGTCTGGGTTCCCAATCTGGCGACTCAGCCGCTCTGTGACTGAGAGGATGCAGGACACCCAGTGGGTCCCAGCCCGAGGTGCTGGGAAGTCACCGTTCAAGTGTGTGCAGTCCTGGCCACGGTGCTGTCTGTTCACAATTTAAGTACTTGGAAAAAACCCTTTAATGCTGGCTTGCGTAGAAGATTTCTGGCTGAGTTACTAGGTCTGTTTCGTCTGGGACTCCACTGAACAGACCTCGAAGCTAGGCTGGAGCCACTGTGGCCTCTTGGAGGCCTCCTTTCATGGCGTTGGAATTCTCAGCCCCCAAAAGGGAGCGGCCCCCTCCCAGGGGCCGGAGGCCGACACTGCCCTCGGGAGCCTCCTTCCCTGCACACTAGGGCCTGGCAGGCGCTGCTGTCACTTGCGCTCATGGCTTTGGGGCTGCAGGGAAAGGTTTTATGCGTGCAAAGAGCCCCCTAGGGTTGCTGGCCCTTCAGCAGGAGTCCTTTGTTGAACTTTCCAGAAACATTCTGTGTATGTGCCCAGCCGGCGGGTCAGCCGTCCCCCCACCGTCGGCCTCGCTCAGTGTCTCTGCCTCGTCCCCACAGGTTTAATTGGAAATATCTATCTGAATGATTCTCCCCTGAAAAAGTTCAAAATCTACAGCCTGGATATGAAGAAGAGCTTCTTTCAGAGGCGGGTCCTGCCCTGCACAGCGTGGGAGCAGCTGGACGGCCTGCAGGAGAGCCAGGAGGCCCGAGGCTGCCCCAGGCTTGGTGCCCGCGCCGCACCCCTCCGCCACGGCCTGAGAACCGGAGCCCGAGCGCTCCCCTGCTCCTCCCCCCGGCTGCCACTGCTGTGCCGGCTCACAGGGCGGGGAGGACCTGAGAAGGCGCCCCCCATCCCTCATCTTCTGTCCTGCCCACAGGTTCCACGCAGACAAGTGGAACCCTGTCCCTGACATGCCCGTGTTCCCTGCTTTCTTCTCGGGGCCGCTGTTCGTCTCCCTCTCCCCCTGTGACACCTTTGTGAAGCTGGAGGTTGGTAGCTCCGCCTGCCAGGTGCTCTGGGCTCCGCTCCTTGGGCCCACAGCCTGGTGCTTGGCCTCCTGGAGCCCCCCTACCACGTGTGCCCGGAGGGTCTCCGTCGTGGCCTCCCTGGGTGGGGGTGGGGTCAGAGCAGAGGCACCACCTGGTGGGCTTCTCAGGTCCGGGCTCCGGTGGTCCGGGTGCCCTGCCGGGGCTCAGCGCTAGAGGGAACGGGCTCTGGCGCTCCCCTCCCGGTACCGAGCGGCTGTTGGGACGAGTCTGGTCCCTGGGAAGCTGAGAGGAGAGCTCAGGGCCTGTGTGCGCCTCTGCCTCCCGTGTGACTCTACGTTCGGTGGTTTATGTGGTCAACTAACACCTCCCCTCCTCTGCTTAAAGGGCTGGGAGAAGGGGGTTGTATTCATCAACGGCCAAAACCTTGGACGCTACTGGAACATCGGGCCCCAGGAGACCCTCTACCTCCCAGGTGCCTGGTTGGACCAAGGCCTCAACCAGGTGGGAGCACTTTTCCTGGGACCCCTTCTCATCCCTGCCCTCCCTGTCTCACGGTGTTTCTCCGCGGGCCCTTGGCGGGCAGGAGAGGACAGAAGTTCTGACGGGCCCGATCTGGCTCCGAGACAGACTGGCCGTGTCCCCCAGGTCATTGTCTTCGAGGAGAAGATGGCGGGTCCGGTGATACAGTTCACGGAAACGCCCTACCTGGGCCGGCACCAGTACCTGAACTGAGCAGCCCCCAGGCCTCCTGGCAGGGCAACAGCAGGCCCTTCGGCCCACGGCTGCAGTCCAGACCCTCCCCTGCACAACCGGAGAAGCGGGTTGGGGGCGAGGGAGGGCCCCTCCCCGAAGAGCTTCCCGGCTCTGTGGCTGCTGCCGTCTGCCTTCGCTGCTCCCACGGGCGGGATGGGGGTTCTGGCTGGGACTGTCCCCCGTGGGGGTGAGTGGGGCACAGCTCCTGGACAGTCTGCTCTGAGTGTCCCCGTGGGCCCTGTTTCTGAGCTGGGGGGCACGTCACCATTTGTGGAGGGTGGGGGCACCTGGGCCAGCCTTCTCCGCCATGCAGGGAGGAAGTCGGTGTGGTGGAGGGACCCCGGCCCCCTTCCACCCCACTCGGATCGCCTCTGACGGTCAGGAACGCTGAGCCTTACCTCCCAAGACAGCGTGTTTCCCTCTCATTCCGCAAGGGGCAGTGCCAGCCCAGGAGGAGAGGCAGCTGCTCCGGAGGGTCCAGGAGGCTGCAGGCAGAAGGTGCGGTCGCAGGGGCCTGGGCAGGAGTATTGGGGTCCCGGGGCCCCCACCCTGGGCCAGGCGGCGAGGGAGGGGCAGCCTTCCTTTCAGTTGTCCGTCCAGACCCCGGACAAGCCCCCACGGGATGAGTCCCGTGTTAAGGCTCAGGTTCGCTGCCTTGAATTGCGGTAAAGCCACAGAGTTGCATCTCATCCTCCTTGGTGGTGTTTCTCTGACCCCGCTTGTGCCGGCCGGGCACACGCTAGCCTGGCCGTCGCCATACCGAGAAGACTCGGCTGTTGCGGTGTGGTGGGCAGGGTGGGGCCGTGTTGGGTGGCCAGGAGCGGCACGTGCGCTGGCCACAGTACTGAGTATGCCTCCCCAGCGACGTCTGGATCCTCCTGCCACAAACGGACGATCTCCATTCATAGTCCAAGTGGAAGAGCGGATTCCTCCGGGAGTGGGGACCGGGTGGGGAACAGCAAGCTGAGAGCCTCCCAGCAGCGCCCTCCTCCCCACGGCCGGGAGCCCATGCTTGGCTTAGGAGGGGTCTGCACGGGGGCAGTGGTGCGCAGCCCCTGGGCCCAAACAGTGGAGCTGGGTCAAGGGCAGACGGTCACAGGGGGCTGGGCCCAAGGCTCCCGCTGGGGGCAGAGAAGTAGGGCTTATTGAAGCTAACCTGGTGGATCATGGCTGGGGGTCCCAGTCCCTGATCTCGTCCAAACTCACCAGCTCTTCCTGTGCCGCCTTGAACGGGGAGCCTGGGGCTGGGCGGAGAGAGCGGGCTCTGTGGACGGGGCCAGCCTGGGCGCTGAGCCACCCTGCCTGACTTATGCCGCGTCCCATGAAGCGCGTGGGGGGCTTCCGCTGGGGAGTGTGCACGGAGCTGGGGTTTGGAAGACTCAGGGTGACGCCATCTGTGTGATGAAGAGTCCCCTGGCATTGCTTTTCCGCACCCACCAGCTCGCAGACGCGCGGCCCTTCCTGGGTGAGGTCCCTGGGCCAACCTGCCTGCCCAGTGACCCCAGCTTCCTGTCCAAGCACCTTGGCAGGGAATGCCCTCTTTGTCACCCCGGCCTCCAGGTGCTGGGCATCTCAGGCTGCTCCCAGGCCGCCTCTGCCCTCACTCGGTGTGGAGGCCTCGCCCACGGGCCTTGGCAGCAGTCTCCACACTCGTTCTCTCCCACGTTCATCCCCGTCGGGGCTCCAGGCACCACTGTCCACTCACCTCTCCTGTGAGCGTAACAAGCACATGACCCCAAACTTACTGTCACGTTGTCCCCTGCAGTCTTCCCGGAGCAGTGGACACAGTTCTGTTCTGTCTTGGTTACTCGTGGCTGTACTTGCACCTCACATCCAGCCCATCAGCAAACCCCTGACCCGTGTCCAGAGCCCGCCCGCTGCCCTCTCGTCAGGGCTGCGCCTCGTCCGACTCACCGTTGTCTCGGGCTGCCTGCCCGTGTCCTGTTTGTTGGCAACACAGGAAGCGAGCGCTTCTTCTAAAAGGCCGGTTAGACTGGGTCCGTCCTCTGCTGCAAACCCTCCGACAGCCTCTCTTTCACTCCCTAGCTACAAGCTTCGCCCTGGTTCCAGAGCAGAGTGTCTGTGCCCCCTGCTCCCACGTGTGACCCACCCCCCGCTCCCAGTCAGCTGCCCTCAGTGGCCTGTTAGCTAAGCGCTCTCCCGCGGGGGAGCTTCTCTTTCCTGGACCCAGTTCTCTGCACGTTGGCTCGGAGGCCACCTGGCCAGGGAGGCTTTTCTGACGGCCCAGGTGGGGTGCCAGCACCTCCCCAGCTGCACTCCGCCCCGCTTGCCTCATCCGTCACCTTGGAACTGATGACGGTTGTTGGAGCACCCTGGCCCCGGGCATCTGTGTCCTCTCCGGAGAGGGCAGCCCCGGGCAGGCAGAGCTTTGGCTTCCCGGCCCTGTGCTGTGCTGGGAACAAGGCGTGTCCCCCCAAGGCACCTGATGGTACAGGTTGGACGGTTAAATGAATGAGGAAAACTAAGGCAGGGCTGAGGAGGATTAAGACTGTTAAAAACCATATTTGACTTTTAATTTCAAAACAAATTAAATACAGTTAAATTAAAACAGACCCGATAGTGCAGCTTGGGGGCTCCACCTTCCCCGTCTCTGTCCTCCGGCCCCCACCCCGCTCCTGTGCAGGGGGGAGCAGGGAACACACTGCGTTTGGAAAACAAACTGTAGCCATGGACCCAATTCTGATTCATAGCAAACTCATTCCCAATGAAGGTGAAAGCTGCAGTCCATCAGGGTTATAATTATAAATAAATACACATGCAGCTAAGAGAGGGTATTAGGTGAAAACAATAGAAGTAGCATCTGCCGAAAGAACAGAGGAACCCATGTTGTCGTTATCAAGTTTCCTGAAAACGAGCCCTGGGTTTCGGGCCAAGGTGGCCCAAGCCCAGCCAAGCTGACCCTGCGTTTGGGGCTGGTTCCGGCGAGTGAGGCAGAGTAGAGCCCTGCATGAGTTCACTTGCTCGACGGTGCCCGCCCTCGCCCACCCTCCCTTCCCCGCCACCCACTTGGTTCCCAGGCAACCATGGGTGTGGGACGTCCTGCAGGTGGCTCAGGGCCCTCAGGGACGTGAGCCCTCCCCCTCCCTCGAAGGTTTCGTGACTATGCTGAGGAGTTAAATCCACTTCAAAAACAGGCAGCCGATACTCCGTGAATGTTAGGTCGCTGGGCTGCGGCCCACTGCCCACCCACCCATGCACCCAGGAGTGGGCTCTCCATGGCCCGCAGACCCACCCCATGAGTCTAAGTGGAGTAGGGGCTATTAGCGGTTAAAAGTAAACACCTGTTCAGTGGGCTCAGGCCCTTCCTCTGCCTCCACAGGGGAGGAAAATTGTGCTTCCAAACGCTCAGGAGTGTGAGTGGAGACCGGCAGAGGGCTGGCCCTGTCGGGAAGCCAGGGAGACAGGCACCTCTCCTCCTGGCTGAGGGCCGCGCACGGTTCCTTGTCTGGGGCGGCCGGGCGGCCGGACATGAGGCCGGCTTGCTCTTCGCGCCCCCAGTTTAGGGAGGAGGGAGGTTTTACTTCCCACTCGGTGTGTAAATCGCATGATTTCCAAAGCAGTGTGTGCTCAGGTATCCTGCCCTCGGGGTCCAGATCATCTCTGCCCCCTTCCGTAAATCCCTCTGCTAATCCAGAGTCCCCCAGCCAGGGGCAGGGAGGAGCCCTGGGACCGCCCGGGCCCCTCCTCTCTCTTCCTGGCCCACCTGCTCCCTCGAGCCCCTGAGGCCTGTGGTTCTCATGGCTCTGGGTTGGGGGCTCCTGCCTCCCCAGTCCCAGCCCAGGCGAGGGGCCCGGAGCCCAGTGGGCGTTGGGGAGGTGCCGTGTGGTCTATACCCTGTGCTGGGTGGAGGGCCCACCTCCTTCCTTGCGCTGGGACAAGAGCCAGGGAGGGCGCTCTGCTCCCTCCACGAGGTTGAGGTATGGGGAGAGCAGCCCTCTGGCAGCCCGACTCCCCGCACACAGGGCTGGCCGCCTGCCGGGAGCACAGACAGCCTTACGCTCCGCAAGCAGGAGCCAGAGGAAAGCCGGCTGGAGGGGCTGCATCTCCTCGGAGCAGCTCGTTCCTGATGCCGGGGGTGGGGGCTGCTTGCCGTCTTTCGCAGTCCCTGGCCAGGTGTCCTGTGTGGTCGTGGGGCCTCGAGGGGGAGCCGGGGAGCCCTCTGCTGGACTGCTGGGGTCTTTTGCCCCCTCCCAGCCTGGCATCACTCCCGGGCTTGGGGCCCATGGTGTCTGCCCTGGCCGGCCCTGCCAGGGCAGATGGGACAGAACAACAGGTCTGGGGTTTCTGTGCTTTAGGGTCTCCGTCCTTTGTCCTGGCATCAGGCTGGTCTCTCTGAAGGCCCCAGAGTAGAAAGGAGGGTGACGGCGATTCCACAGGAGTCCGCCTCGGAGGGACCACCCGTGTGGGGAGCACAGGTGGCCAGGAGCAGGTCTGAGAAGGGGGCTCCTGTGACGGGGAGAAGAATGGGGGAGGCGTGAGGGAGCCGCTGGATCCTGGGCCCCTGAAGCGTCACCCAGGGGCTCCGCAGAACCCACCCCCAGGTCCCCACTGAGAGGCCGGGAGCAGGAGAGGCAGGGAGTGATGCTCTGTCCCGACACAGTCTCAGTGGCAGCGACTGAGGTGATTTTCTAAGTTCAGGGGACAAGATAAGCAGACCCCCTGTGGTCCCCTGTGGGCAGGGCCATTGCCCAGGTGATACAGAAGCTGCAGCCTGACTCCAAGACCAGAGGACAGAGGTGTGTCCCACTGTCTGAGCTCCCACCTCTGATGAGATCACAGAGAAGCTCATAGAAAATTCCTGGCATTGCCAATCACCTGGCACAATTCACTTCAGCTTTACTCAGCCTCATTCCTTTGCCTCTAAAACACAGATGGAGCCTGTGACCTACTGCAATACAGGGTTTTAACCAAATAAAGGGACTTCCCCGGAGGTCCAGTGGTTAGGACTCTGCGCTTCCACTGCAGGGGGCATAGGTTCGATCCCTGGTTGGGGAACTAAGATCCTGCATGCTGCGTGGCTCGGCCAAAAAGAATCAAACAAATAAAAATAGCAACACTTAGGCAGGACTTATGTGCCAGACTGTTCCTGGTGCCTCAACAACCCATTCTGCAGGTGAAGAAACTGAGGCCTACAGAAAGAAAGGTCAAACCGAGGAAAGTGGTAGCTTGGGAGTCAGGCCAGGCTCCTCGGTCCACGCTTTCACCAGGACGGAGGAGGAACCTGCAGGAGACAGAGCCTGGGCGGGTCCACACAGCAGCGCCTCATAAGGGGACCGGCTGGTGGCCAGGATAACAGTGGTGATGACAGGGAGCTGTCACCAGGCGGTGCCTGGAAGGTGAGGCCTTCCAAGCAGCTGGTGGTAGAACCACCCAGCCACGGGGGGAGGCTGGCGCCTGTCGACTTCAGCTACGCCTCCTGAGACTCCACGGGGCATTTGCTCTGACCTTCATGATTAAAGACTAAGAGGAAAAGTCTTGGCAGATTTACTCTGCATCCAAGCTTGGGTGGCCCGCCCAGTGCGTCACCTGCCTGCATCCCCCTACCTGTGTCCTGGGGCTCAGATCTCCACCATGGGGTCAGTGAAGCCTTTTTTCCCCTCGTTCACCAGCACCGGCTTCTCAGTCCGTGTGTGCCAGACCAGGATCTGTGTGTTCAGAGACGTGAGACCACATGGGGCAGGCCCCTGACCTCGCCCTCCCACCCCTGCCCCCTCTCCTTCTGCCCTTGTTCCAGCAAGATTTTCTCCATCGTTCTTTATTTCTAACTACCCCCTCATTCTTGCTTTTTGTACATAGGCTGCATTCAAAATATCTGTTGGAAACAGAAAGTCTACAGCTACAGAAAAGAGACAAACAGGTCTCAAGGTTTCCTCTTGCTTCTCATCCTCCCTTGCATTTCTTCATGGGTCCAGAGGGAGAGAGTTCTGGGACCTTCAGCTCAGCTAAGTGACAGCCCAGGCCCTGGCTGGAGAAGTCCAAACTTGAAGCAGCGTGTGTGTGTGTGTGTGTGTACATGTGCATGAACATGTATGTGTGTGTTGTGCATACGCACACCCATGTATGTTCCATGCATGCGTGTATGCGTGCACATGCATATGTATATGTGTGCCCGTGTCTGTGCATGTGTGTGCACACATGGAGGTGTGTCTGGCAGGAGAGTCGTGGAGCCCAGCTGCTTCGAGGTGAGGGAGGGGTTCAGTCCTGGGCTCTGTCTTGCCAGTCGCCCCTTCCTGCTCCCCCACCTGCCATTACCGTGGCTCCTGAAGGGCGATAAGCTGCCGTCTTGGGAAGCTGGTTCTCCTTCGCAGGCTGTCTGGGGCCCTATTTCCTTCTCCCTGATCTAGAGGGAGGGCTCTGTGGGCTGGAGAAAGCTTGCATCGCAGCTGTCAGCTCTGCTGAGGGTCTTACCTTGGTGCAGTTGGCCGCCTTGGGCTCCAGGTCACCGAGGGTGACAAGTTCTCGCAGGAGGCTGCTTTCTTGGTAGCCTCCCTTCACGCCGCGGAGCTTGAAGTAGGCCTGGCTTCGCTGCAGAATGAGCCGCAGGTTGACCGCAAACCCCGCCATGTCTATTGCAAACGGCCGGTGGGGGTCGAACACAGTCTTCCAGCCGACCACCTTCCCGGCCCCATTGACCCTCGGGGCCTCGTACCGAAGGCCGCCGACGAAGGCTACGGGCCACACGGACACCCGCCTGGTGCTGCGCATCTACAGAAGGAGAAGGGTCAGGGCGCCTGGGCAGGGATGGGAGTCAGGGCACCCGGGCTGCTCGGGGTGGGCATCCGCCGAGGAGCACGCCTGGGCTGTGGGCAAGGCCACCCCTCCAACCAGCTGATACTCGCCTTGTCACGTGACCTGCCCTCTTTGTCCTTTGCTGCAAAACTTCTGTCTTCCCAATTTAGAGTCTGAAATGACTCCTTCCCCCCCATCCACTGTCGTGACTCCCAGACCCGGAGGACACTCAGAGAGTCGACAGGGAACCCCCTTTCCCTGTCCCTCCACTGGAAGCCCTCGTGCAGACAGTGCCCGGAAGCCCTCGTGCAGACAGTGCCCGGAAGCCAGGGCTGCGGCCGAGGCCAATCTCCTCCCCCTTCGCCAGCCGGGGCTGAAGGCCGCGCCGGGTCCGCACCCTCCCCGGGCCCCATATACGTCCACGAAGCACGCACCTCCTCGAAAACCTCCAAGCTGTAGGTGTTGTCGTCGTCCGCGAAGTACACGACGCCGGGCTGGCTGGAGTTGCGCGGGAAGGTCTCACGCAGCCAGCGCAGGGCCAGGTTGCGCTGCATGGTGCCCCGCGGGATGCGCGGGTCGCGCGCGTCCCCGCGCAGCTTGTAGTTGCGCGGCGTCTCCACGTGCAGGTGCGTGTAGTTGAGGCCGGTGTCGCGCAGGAGGCGCGCGGTCAGCGGCGTGCGGCGCGGCGCGTCCTCCACCACCAGCCAGTGCAGGTTGGGCACGTGCAGCAGTGTGTTGGCCAAACGCGTCAGCTCAGCCTTCTGTACCGGACGGCTGTAGGTGGGCGTCACCACGTGGATGGTGGGCAGCGTGTCAGACCAGGGCGGGGGCCGCGTGTACACGTACTCGGTGCGCACCACCTCCACGATGTCGCGGTCGGACATGCAGTACTCCCTGGGGTCCACGCCGGGTGGCGCCTCGCGTCGGGGATCGCTGCCGTCATCTGCGGGTTGGAGGGGGGGCGGTGTGGGCAGCTCCGCTGCAGGTACCTCGGCCCCCCCGCCCCACGCAGCTCTCCTCTGCTCCACCCGCGGGAACGTCAGCGCATCCCTGCCTGGGGCCCTGTGGGCTGAAGCTGGCGGTCAAGGCTGCTTGCCTGACATCCTCCCCTGGGTTTTGCTAGTTCTGACTCCCGAGATGACACAGAAATAACCTCTCCCTCCTTCTCGCATTTGACAGCTCTGTAGCTATTTGAGGGCAGCTGGCCAAATTCCAAGATTGCATCCGCGGTTCGGGTTTTATGTGACAAAGTGTCCTCTCCTCACCACCCTATACCCTTCTCACCTGGCCAGAGCTGACTGCACTGCCTCGCACAGGCTGGGGCTGCAGAGCCCCAGGCACTGCCTCCCATGCCGGAGGGCAGTGTTAGTGCTGTCGTGGCTACAACAAACCGTGGAACCGGGAATCTGCGGTTACCTCGCCCCGATTTTTCACAAACCCTGGAGTCAAGCGGGGCTTACTTAATCCAGCTTCTGAATCTTGGTGCAGAGTATCTGATACTTAACTACTGCATTTTCTTCTAGGGTGTTGCCCATAGCTGGCAAGATAATTCTGAACGCTGTGCCTGTCGCCGCTGACTTTATTCTCACATTTGTGCAAAGGGGCAGAGGGCGGAGGCCCATCTCAGCTCTTCTGGGGTTTGGTGTCTGTCCCCTAATCTGCACTGTCCGCTCACACTCTCTCAGCCGCCTGGAACCCTGCCTGCCCCACACCCAGCCGAGTGTGCCCAGGCGCCCCCAAGGACCCCGGGAGAGGCGTGTGTGAAACCTGGCAGAGGCTTCATCAGTGATACACCCACAGGGATGAGAGCCCCTCTCTCCGGAAGGCACCCTGCGCCCGCTGGGGCTGCTCTAATGACCAAGCTCTCTCTTGCATCCTGGACATTCTCCCCATGGGCAAAGCCAGCAGTCCTCTCATGAGGGGAAATCAGCCTATGGGTATTCTTTTTTTTTTAAATGGTGTTGATTCATATCTTTTTAAAAAAATGTTTACTTACTTTAAAAAAATTATTTATTTAGGCTGCGTTGGGTCTTTGTTGCTGGGTGCGGGCTTTCTCTAGTTGCAGTGAGCGGGGGCTACCCTTCATTGTGGTGCATGGGCTTCTCATTGTGGTGGCTTCACTTGTTGCATAGCATGGGCTCTAGGGTGCTCAGGCTTCACTAGTTGTGACATGCGGGCTCAGTGGTTGTGGCTTGCGGGCTCTAGGGCGCAGGCTCAGTCGTTGTGGCGCATGGGCTTAGTTGCTCCACGGCATATGGGATCTTCCCGGACCAGGGCTCGAACCCGTGTCCCCTGCATTGGCAGGCGGATTCGTAACCACTGCGCCACCAGGGAAGCCCCCACGGGTATGCTTGTTCTTAAAGAGTCCCTTCTCTCTGAGGTGTGTCTTCCTGTTTGAAAGATTGTGGGCCCCTCACTGCTCTCACACCATCTCAGCAGGAGGTGGCAAGTGTCAGAGGACAGACCTAGGGATCTGAGTGCCTGGGCTCAGACCCTGCGCCACTCTGTACTAACCATACGGCCGTGAGCAGGGTGCTTGGCTTCTGGTGCCTCAGTTTTAGAAACTGCAAAATGGAGCCAATACCTGCATCTTCTTTATCGAGTTGCATGTGGGTTAAAGGGCTCGTAACTCTGCCTCGAGGCTCACCATCCCTGGTAAGCGGCCCTGTTCCTCATGGCTTCTTGCAACTATGGAAAGGATGGCGTGAGTGGTTACCTGCAGGGGGCGAAGTGGGGTCCAGCCAGCTGCCGCCCCCTCCCTCCTTCCCATGGTTCTTGTTAGCCCGGGTGCTGGCATGGGGTTGGACGCTGGGCACCGAGGGGCGGGGACACACGTGCTCCCGCCTCTCAGGGAGCTCCCAAAGGCCAACCAGACATCCACGACGAGACACACAGTGGTAGTGGGAGCCTGCGCCTGGGCCATGGGTGCAGGGTCGGAAGACTAGCGCAGATGCAGGTAGCCAAGGGCACTTGCAGGAGGAGTTTTGGGTCAGACTGTGAAAGACAACAAGCTTGAGGAGAGCAGCTTCTGACCAGGGTATAAGTAAAGTTTAGTTTATCCTGCCGTGAGTAAAGTTTTGGAAACCAAGGCCCGGGAAGGACACTGAGAGTCCCTCTCCCTCCCTGTCCCTTTCTGCCGCTCAAATCACCCCCCCTCCGGCAGGTCTGTGCCCTGGTACATTCTCCGTGCCTACAACAGGGCTGGGTCAGGGCTTCTGCCACCTTTGGGTCCTAAGGCCTCCCTAACTTCCTTTGCTGCTGCCTTCGTTCTGTCTTGGCTGCTCTGGGGAGAGTGGATGCCAGTTCCCTGTCCTCAGGCAGGAAGGGCAGTGCTGAGCGAAGCAGTCTGGCGTCTCTGACCCCAGAGCCCTGCCGAGAATGGAAGCCACGTGGTATTATGTCCCTTTACATGTGGTAAATGTAGTGATGTGCTGTTGGGTGACAACTCTAAAATGATAAGCGCCAGGGACTTCCCTGGCGGTCCAGGGGTTAGGGCTCGCACTTTCACTGCCAGGCCCCGGGTTCAATCCCTGGTCGGGGAACTAAGGTCCCACAGGCCCAGCAGCATGGCCACAAAAAAAAAAAAAAGTAAGCACCAAGGAGAGGTGCTGGATTGGGAGGAGGACAGCTCCAGGTGCCCCAGCAGGCAGTGGGCATTTAGCCATCTTCAGCCTGGCCCTTCCTCACAGAAGCCTCAGGACCCACCGGGGCTGAGCAGGCCCCAATGTGTAACTGTGGAGCAGCCCAGCTTCAGACTGTGGCTCTTGGCCCTGCCTGCACCCAAATCACCGATTCCCAGCATCCCCCCACCCACCCCAGTCCTGTCAGCTTTCTCCCTGGGACGTGCCTGGGCACCTCTGTGTTTCATCAGGCTCCCCGGGCTCCCATGGGAGAAGGGCTCGAACAGAGAGCGGGGGAGTGTGGGACTGGAGACTGGCCGTGAGGGGCAGGCGCGGGGGGATGCGCACGTGTACGGGTTTGGGGCATAGGGGGCCCTGGTGTGAGAGGGAAAAGCTCTGGGCTGGGAGCCAGACGAAGCCAGTTCTAACCCGGCTCCGGGGGACTTGCCTCTGTCCAGCCTATTTTCAGCAGTTGGCACTGGATCAGGGCTTCCTGGCCAGGAAAAGAGGAGCGAACAACACACTCGCCCTGAAAGGTTTTAAACAACGCAGTCCGGGAATCCTGGCCACCCACCCCTGAGCCCTCCCGGGGTGCACGTCCTGGGAACAGGTGCAGAGTTGCCCCGTGAGTCTGTGCCTGTATGTGTGGCATCATCAGAGCCCCAAACGGGCCAAGACCCCCCCACCCCACCCACGAGGGTACAGTCATCAGCCTGGCTCGTCCTCGGTTCCCCAGCTACCGAGCGGGTGAGAGTCAGGACTCCAGAAGCCCTGGCTGTGGTCACCCCATCAGCAAAGCCCGGCAGGTGGGGCCGGGTGGGGGCTCACCCTTGTGTGCGGCGAGCAGGGGCGCGATGGTGCTCTGGTGCCACACGGTGACGAGCAGCGTCCAAGGCAGCACGATGAGGAAAATCGCAAGGATGTCCCGTCTCTTCGGCATCTCCAAGGCTGGCTGGGCCCACAGCTCCTCGTTACCTGAGCGACGGCAGCGGACGGCGGCGAGCACAGGGGAGAAAAGAACAGGAATGGGCCGGGTGGGCCAGGCACGGGGCAGCGGGAAGCTGAATGCTGGCCAGCAGGCCTGACCACGCTCACAACCCACCCATTGCCGAAGCAGGTCTGCGGAGTCCGGCCCTACCGGAGTCTGGTGGGTGTTGCCTTCTGAGGTGGGTCAGGAACCCTGCGGGGTGGACACCTGCAAGAGAGAGCAAAGGTGGCGGCCAGAGACCTGGGCAGAACGGGCCCCCGCTGGCCGGCTCGGGACGCACAGCATCGTGTTTTCAGGGTGGAGCCTGGCTTCTGCCAGTCCGTGGGGTGTGGCCAGCCTCTGTCCTCACAGGTGGCGGTGGGTGCTGTCCACTCAGGGTTCAGACACACCTGCCTGGGTTTAACCCCAACTCACTTCTGTGCCTCAGTTTTCTCATCTATGAAATGGGCGCCTTCAGCACCTACTTCCCAAGGCTTCTGGGAATTAAATGCGTTAACACCCGTGGAGCCCGTGGGCTGGCACCAGATGGACACAGCAAGCACTCGGAACGAGTCAGCAGCTGTGATGGTCACAGGCTTGTGCCCAGATGGTTATTTCACAGCCTGGATTAAGGAGTGGACCTGGACAGGATCTATTCTTGTGAAGCCCCCGCAGAGGTAGGGCGGAGGCCGGGCGCTGCAGCTGGGCGTCAGCCAGGAGATATGCTCCCGGTAGGACTGCCATGTCCCAGGGAGACGGCACTCAAATGGCAGCAGCAGGGGCTCCAGGAGCTCCAGGAGAGGTGCCCTGTGGGTAGAGTTCCCCTCTGGCCTGGCTGCCCACGTGCCAGGAGACAGGCGCTCAGCCTCCGGACCGCCATGGAAACTGTCACATCCCAACGTTCACCTTCCTCCTCACTTCTGAGCTGAGTGCCGTGCAAGATGCAGCTGGGGTCCACACGGGGAGGCGTGAGGGAGGACAGCCATGGGCGGCCCTGGCCTGTCCCGGTGTGTGGGCCACCCCAGTGCCCAGCACCGGCACACCGAGCCCCCGAGGCCGCTCACTGCCCACCCAGCCCCCCGCAGACGCGCATCCGTCCCCCGCGGAGCTGAGAGCCAGGGCTGAGCAGGACCTGGGCTCCTGTTTTGGAGACAGTGCGTCCTCCTCCTTGCCTGGTCCTCTCTCTGCCAGCAGTCCCCATGCCTGGTGCAAGAACCGTGTTGTCTTCCAGTGACGGGCACTGTGGTCTCCCGGGGTGGCCCCGCTGCCCCTGCCACCCCTGGCTCCACAGCCTCCTTGGAGTCAGATGGTGCACGGCCCGCCCCCCTGCCACCGGGGTTAAACGGTGCAGGCACAGAGCAGGGAATGATCCTGGGGTGCGAGCTGTCTCCTCCACACTCCTTGTCGTGGCCTGAGCAGGTGGGAGCCCAGAGTCCCACCCAGCATGCCTGTCTGGGTCTCCTGTGCTGCGTGAGCTCGTGCTACCTCCCCGCCCAGCCCCTGCCCTGCTCCAAGGCCACAGGCAGGGCTGCGAAGGGCTGAGTTGGGGCCTCGGTTTGGCGGGGCTGTCTCAGGCCACGTGATGGGGGTCAGAGGCGCTTCCAGTAGGGCTGGCTGGGAGGTCTCCTCTGGTCCTGTGATCGCCCTGGAGCTTTTCCAGGCATCCTGGTCTTGGGGAGGCTCTGGTTCTGGCAGGGAAGCCGTGGGGAGCTGGCCTGCCCTGGCACTCAGGCAGCTGCGCTGGGGCAGCCTCCAGCCTCCGGCACCTGCCCCTCCCTCGGCCGCCCGGGCTGCAGTTTGAGCAAAGAACAGCTGGTGGGGAGCATTTGTGGGGCCAGAGATGCACTTGACACTCCACGTTCAGTCTTCCCAACGCCTAGGCCGCAGGCGCTGACCTCGACCCCTTCCACCTGGAGTTTGCAGAAGCCGTGAGGGTCCGCGTCTTGTCCAAGTCACCGTCGGCGTGCAGTGGAGCCAGACCTGAATCCGGGCCCTTTGGGTCTGAGCTGCATCAGGAGCTCGGGAAGGAGGGTCAGGCCCCAGAGCCCCTTCCGGGAGGCCCCCTGCAGGGCCCAGCACCCCCCTGGGGGGAGCAGGAGGGGTACTAGGAGAGGAAGGGGGGCCGTGGACACCAGGGCCTTGGAGGGAGGCTCTGATCCCATCTGCTCTATCTGGTCAAAACTTCTATGAAAGGAAGGGGGTGGGGCGGGCAGAAAAGCTCTAAAAATAAACTTAGCCATAAACCCAGTTGTGCATTAATTACTCTGGAAGCCATTAAGGCTTGAAAACCCCATAACTTTAATGGAGGCTATTATAAGCATAGCAGCAAAATCATGGAGCGAATTACCAGGCGGTTATGAAGCAGAGCAGGGAGAGCCCCCAGCCTTGGAGAGCACCAGCTGGCCAGCAGGGGGCGGGTCTGAGGGAAATGGGGCCTGGGCTTGGGCATCAGGGAGCAGAGGCCTGGGGGGACCTGGGCTGGGAGCAGCGGAAGCTACCCCAGACCCAGAGGCCCAAGTGTGAGACGGGGCTGCAAGGATGACCACTGGCCTCGGCCCACTTTTCCTGCCTGGCCCTGGACGGGTGGCGGGCAGCCTGCCTGTGGTCCAGGCTCAAGCAGCCGCAGACCCAGGGCCGCCCTGGGCCCTTGGTGGCCACGGGCAGAGGAGTCAGTGCAAAGATGGAGGAGGGGCTCGGCCGCACCCAGAGCCAGGAGGAGGGGTGCGGCAGGGAGACTGCGGTGCTTGAAGCGAGGTCCTGCCGGCGAGAGCGAGGGTGGGGCCCGGTGTCCGCCGAGGCCAGGACTCCCCGCCAGCCACCGCAGTTCGTGTCCGTGACTGGCCCCCGCCGCCCAGCCCCTCAGCAAGTGCAGACGGGGGGCCTCGGCTGGACACAGACAAGGCTGCGCCGAGGGGCGTGTGAGCCCCATGGGACGGCACAGGGGACGTGAGGGGGCGGGACAGTGCTCTGGCTGCTGCCCCCGGGGCCCCTGCTTGTCCTCCTCGGCCTCCACCCTCATCTCCACACACAGGGCTGGACTGGGAGGTTCTTATGAAGTTTCAGTTCTGCCATTTTAGCACCTTGAGGTTAAGACAGGGCTCTGGTGAGAAAACGGGGTCGGGTGGCATTCAAGGCCAAAGTCAAAGCAAGAGGCCAGTGTAACAGCTGATTCATGGGCCAAGCAGCCCTGGAGACTGGCCACGTCTGGGGAGACCTAGTTATAGGAATTTGCCTATGGGTTTTAGGGTGTCATGGGTTGTGAGAACCAGGGGGTGTCTGGGACCCAGATGGGGGGCCCCGATGTGTCCAAGGCTGGGCTGCAGCCGGGCAGGCTGGACAGGAGAGGCTGGGCCTGGGGAGGCAGGGCCAGGACAAGGTTGGCTTCCAGGCTGGACGATTCCAAATGCATGGATAGGCTGCCTCCTGCGCTGCAGGATTCAGACGAAAACCTCACCCGCGTCCCAGTACCTGCAGAAGAGGCTGGTTTAACTCCATTCAGCAAATATTAGTTCAGCATCGGTGGTGGGCAAGGCTCTGCTGGATTCCCTGGACCACACGACAGCAGGGAAAGCGGCTTCACACGGCTCCGTCCCATCCCTCGGGGAGGTGCTGCGGAGATGGCGTGTGCATGTGTGTGGCGGAGGTCAGTTTCACACAGACCACCCCAGCCCTCGCCTCTGGAGCAGGGTAGGAGCCGTGGTGCCCATAAGCCCGGGACGGTGGCGGTCACAGGAGGCCGCGGGGTGAAGAGTCCTTCAAGGTGATGCGGACACTGCACGTGTCCCGACAACTGCACGATCAGCGGTCCTGTCCCCGACCACACGCTCTTCACTGGCCAGCGTGGCACTGCCCGCTTGGGAAGCGGGGCTGAGGCCTGTCCTGGGAGCTCGCCACCCTCTGGGAGTCGCCCCGCTGGGCACACCGCCTTTGGCCTCAGCGACGACTTCTCGGAAGTGATCCAAGACCTTGGGACACTCGGTGAGGAACCTGCGCCGCATCCTTTAGAATTGTGATGTTTCCCACCAATCTTCACCTCATTTGGAGAACGTTTTCCCTAGACTCGCCTCATGGAATCTTCTGAGAGCATTCAGCTTAGTTTTCCTAGGAACGACACATTTCTTTCTTTCCAGCTCGTGTTTCTTGGTTTATGTCATATTCCGTGATGATGAGAACAAGCAGAAACTGTTGCAAACAGGCTGGGAACCAACATTATGGACTCTTGGATCACTGACCGCCAGAGGGGACCCCCAGCCCCCTGAGGACATCGGTCCTGAGTCACTGGAGGAGAGGTGGTGAGGAGAGCACTGCCGTGCCCGGGAGGAAAGAAACGGGCCCGACACTGGGAGCCTGAGTCCCGCTGGGGCCGAGCAGATGTCAGGGCCCGGGTTGTGGGGGGCTGGGTGGTGGTGTGAGAGGACGGGCGGGGGTGCCAGGGGCTGCAGGAAGCAGGACACGGGGAGGGGTTAACAGCAAACAGCAGGAGGGTGCGGTTAGGGCTCCAGTTCTACCCTCCAGCCCCAGACAGTGCCCGGGAGGGAGGCTGGACGCCGTCCCCGAGACCTGCAGGGGCCCTAATGGGATCAAGGGATTAGTATTGATCCTGCGGCCGCTGCTCAAGACAAGCCAGATGCCAGAGCTAACCAGCTCCTGTCCAGTCAATCCGCACTCCATTAACCGGCCCCAGGCCTCTCCTCCCTGGCCACTGCACCCACAGTGGCTCCACGGGGGAGGGGGCAGGACACGGGGCCTCTCCACCCACCATCTCTGTCTGCTTCCCCGCAGGGGACTGGACACAGAGGGGTCCACAGCTCCTTCCACCCACGAGGAGGGCGTGATGCCCAGGAGGGCTCAGGGTTGGCCCTGCAGCTCACAGCCCTGCCCTGGGCAGGTGGGATTCATTTCTTCATAAAGCCGGTCCTTTATCTCCACAGCAGCCTGTGGGGCAGGCAGGGAGGTTTCATACCCATTGTACACTTGAGGAAACCAAGGCTTGGAAGGGCCCAAGGTCCTGGAGTCAGCGGAGCTGCTCACATCCAGGTGCCCCATGCACAGTGCCTCCTGCCTGCAGGCCGGCCCCCCTAGGGCCAACCCCAGGAAGGGGCTCCCCAGCGGGCTTTCACGGTGGGGGCTGAGAAGGAGGGGTGGCTGGGCCCTGGGGGTCCTGCATCCTGGACCCCAAGCCTCACGCCATCTCGTTCCCTTCTCGCCAGGAGACCAGGCCCCGGCTGGGGCAGAAGGACGTCAGCTCGGCTCGGGCGGAACAGCTTTGGGTTTCTTCTGCCCAAGAGTCAGGAAACACAGTTCATCGGTCGTCTGTCTGAGGTGGTTCCCTCGTTTTCTTTCTTGGTTTTTCAGATATGGCCTTGGGATCAGGTTTGGATTCTTAGTAAAGAGTGAAAATGGGGGTCTGGTCTGCGTGGTCCCCCCTGCATCACTGCAGGACTTTGAACGGAACAAGCTCTCAGCCCCAGTGGGTTTACTGGAGTTCCTAAATCAGTGGCATGGTCTTTGGGCAGAAGGGCGTCCACTCGTCCCACAGCCTCCCTGCAGGAGGGCTTCATCTCGGGAGTTTCCTGCTGCTGCTCTGGGCTGGGCCTGGAGCACACGGGTGACCCGCGGCTTGGCTCAAGGTGGGGACAGCGACCAGAGGGACACAGACCGGATGGAGATCTGCACCGTCTGACAGTGGCCGGCTGGGCCGAACGCCCCCTGTGAAGAGCCACCACGCAGAGGGTCTTGGGGTGGCCGTGCAGGGCTGGGCGGGGAGGGCACCCAGCAGGGAGGTGCTGACGGGAGCCCTGGGCAGGCGGGCAGAGAGTGGCACGGCCGCGATCCTCCCCTGGTGGTAGGGGGGGCAGTAAGGGCGGGCCCGGCTCTGCCATCTGTGGACTGGGGAGCGGCCCCTGCATGGAGTCCAGCTTCTGGCCCTCGGCTTGGCCTGGGGCTGGGGGAGGCTTGGTCTTGGCAGGAGCTGCCTCCCCGACCCCCTCTTCCCCCTTCCTCCCTGTATCTCTGTCCCTGCCCCCTTTTGGCAACCGCGCCAGCTTTTAAGAGAACGTCACTGTCCCCAAGACAAGCGCCCCTGTGTTCTCCTGCAGCCGACCTGTGGTCACGTGCTTACAGCTCTAACCACCCACTTCTCTTCCATCTCCACCTTCCGTGGGTCAGGAGCCCAGCCGACATGCGGGGTCCCCTGCGCAGGGGCTCCTGGAGGGCTGAACGGGGTGCGCTTGCTTCCACGGCCGGGGTTGGGGGGCGGCAGAGGCCACTGCCCCAAAGTCACAGGACCGTGGGCGGCACTGCCCTCAGCTCCCTGCCCCGTGTCCTCGGCCAACACGGTCACCCACACTCTGGGACAGCAGGGAGGGCACCCGGGGCAAGTCTGCCGCCGGGACGCGTCCTCCAGGACACTGTGAGACCGCAGGAGGGACAGCCCATCACCTTGACCACGTTCTCCTGGTCACAGGCGTGTCCACACTGAAGGCGTGGACAGCGGGCGTCAGAGGTCACGGGGACACCTCAGGGCCTGTCCAGCACAGCAGCCGGCACACCCGAGGGGCTCCCCGTGGCCTCCCCCTCCCCCTGCCTGCTCTGGCCTCAGTCCCCTCCTCCAGCCTGGAGCTGTTCTGTGTCTGGAATGTTCCACGGACACCTTAAACACAGCAGAGACCCCACCGTCATCTTCCTCCCAGAGCAGCTCCATCTTCGTCCTCGTCTCGGCGGCCAGCACAGAAATCCCGGGCTGTTGCCACTGCTCCCTGCATCCGCCGGGCCGCGCCCGGATGCCGGTCCAGGCCTGCTCTTTCCTCCACGGCCTCCCATCGAGATCTGTCTGCACAGCCCACCCCACTGCCTGGCCCGCCCCCCTGACGTGCCCTCCCCAAGACCTCCTGAGTCCCCCTCCGTAGCATCTGAGGCGCTCGGCTGTGCTGCCTCACCCACCACTAACTGCATCCTCTCTGCTTCCCTTCCACCTCCTGCCACCACCGTCCCTGACCCCACGTCCAGCCCAGCGCCTTCCCTCCCTGCAGCGCTCGTGAGAGCTCTGGACGCTGGCAGACCTGCCTTGGTCCATCGGACGGTAACTCCCCTCCCACCCCGAGGTCTGGGCCAGCCCCGGGGGCACAGGTCTCAGGCCGAGTCCAGAGACCCAAAAACCAAGCCAGCCCGGCCCTCACGGCCAGCATCCCCTCATGTCCTTCCTCCCTGTGGCCTCTGACCCCCGCTGCCCCCTTTGCCAGGCCTCTGCCATGGCCCAGCGTGGGGGCCTGTGTGTCCCTGGGCCCGCTGGCTGCCACAGGGTCCTTGCCCTGTGGAGCCCCGAGTACCAGCTTCGTCACTGTGCCCCCACCCCCTGCCCGCTTGACTCCATCCGACTGGCCCGACGGCAGCGGCCGCGGCACCTGCTCTCCCTCCTCCTGGACGTGGAATTTGTAGTTTCACTCAGGAGTGCGGCTGGGGCCGAGTCCATCCTGCGAGCTCCACGGGGCCACCCTCTCTGGGTGACGTCACGGGGCTGCCCGTTCACGGCTTCACACACGTGTGCATGCATGTGTGCTCGTGGCCAGCACCCTCTCTAAATGAGTGCACACGTATCTGTGGGCCCACGCGTGGGTCTCCAGTCAGCCAAAGAAGAGCCCTCGAGCTGACCCAGGTGGGCTTCTTTGTGCCCGCGGCACGATCCCGGGGAGCAGAGCGCTCCACTCACGGCTCCGAGGACCGTCTCCCTGCCCCCCCGCCTGCCCCCCGCCCTCCCGTGCCACAGGCTAAGCAGCACCGGCAGGCAGGCCACCCTGGCACAGGCCGAGGCCCCGCCCGATTCCAACACGGTCACAGCAAACGCCCTGGACTGAACACGCCAACCTTTCCCGCCAGCGCCCAGCTCGCTGCATCGCCCAGCATCCTGTGAGGGGTGGGGCAGCTTGGGACACAGTGACACCCACCGGATCAGGCCAGTGCCTGTGGGGGCAGGAGCCGCGGGCTCTGCAGATTCTGATACGAGACGGACGGCGGGGCTGGGGCACCAGACGAGCAAAGCCAGCAGCTTCTAGTGGACCAGGGTGGCAAGAGCCACCGGGCGGCCGGGCGGGCCTCCCCACCTGCCCGGCCGCCCAGCATGGGTGGGAGCAGTGCGCTCCCCGCCGAGGCTGAGGGCACCAGAGCTCGAAGACTGTAGGACCCTTGAACCCTGGGCTCCGGGAGCTGGGGTGGTGCAACCGGGTCTCCTTGACCCCCCTCCACTGGGGAGGCCCAGGGAGGCTGAGAAGGGCCCAGGGCTGCACTGCCTGGTGGGTATGGAGTGCTGGCTGCAAGGACGGTCCACAGCGTGGAGGCTGGCACAGGTCCTGGTGACCCTGGCTGGCCAGTGAGCAGGGCATGTGGTCTCAGCAAGGCCAGGGGACCAGAACTAAGCAGGCTGGGTAACCTGGAGGTTCTGGCCCTGGAACTGAGGGTGTGACGCCCGGCTGGGCCAGGACAGCTGTGCAGGGCCGTGGGCGAGGCTGGGATTCGGATGCCCTGGAGGGGTGTGAGCGGCCGAAGGCAGTCTGTCCCCACTGCACCGTCTCCTGCCCCCGGGCTGTGCAGCCGCCATTTCCTCTGGTGCTGATGGCGAGCGGTTTGGGGTGGGATGCTGACCGGGGGAGACCACCTGGAGCTCTGCGCCCCTGGCCATATCCCTCCCCCTTCGCAAGCTTTCCCAGGCCTGAGCGTTCAGCGTCCACACAGCGAACGGCCAGCCCGTATCCTGCGGGAGCTTGTCGGTTTTCGTGTCTGTCCGCAGCCCCCAAGCCATGGACTCCTCTGGATCCACCCCAGGCCCGGGCCAGACACGGAGCAGGGGCTGCACCAGTGTCCCTGTGACTGAGTCCCTCCTCGGCGACTCTTACCAGGCCACTCTGTGATCAAATGAGGGGTCCATGGAAAACACTATCACGGCGCCTGGCCCACAGGGAGCACCACGAATGCTGGGCGACGTCAACTGTAATAGAAATTATAGCAGCAACCATGTTGTTTGAATCCAGCCAAGTCCAAGTGTCTGGAAGAGAAGGGGAAGCCAGGGCACCTCAGCTCCCCCCCGGGTCAGCATTGACCGGCCTCTGGGCAGTTCTTCTAGCAGATTCCTCCCTCCCAAGGACAAGGCTGTGCCGAGGAGGGCGGTCCACGGGGCGTGGGCTCCGTGGCGGTGTGATGAGCGGGACGTCTGGGCTCCTGGCCGCGGGCTGCCTGCCGTGGGCTCACGCAGCTCCCTGGGCGGGCACCGCTTTTCTGTTCCTCTTTTACAGATTTGGAAACTGAGCTGGGCCTGCCCTGGTGTTGGGACACCTTCCTGTCCCCCCGCATTAGTCCCGTGTCCCTGCCCAACCTCCAAGATTCGCGCCCAGGGCAGGACCGGGGATTTCGGAAGGTCAGGGGTCCCCCGTCTCTCCTCCTGTCTCCAGAGCTGTCAGAGCTGCGGTTCTCCTCCTTCGGGCTGAGCTTGGGGGTATGGGACCATCGATCCCGGGCTGCTCGTTTCCTGCCCTTTCCCCCTGGAAGCAGGTGAGGGCTCCCGGAAAGCTGCTCTCACCACCTCTGTTTACTGTTACTCCTGCCGGGTCCCTCGTCCCCCCACCCCTGCGTGTCAGCTGCTCCCACTGCCTGATGAGAGACAGTTCAGGGAAAGTGTTGCAGGAGGTGCAGGGGGTCCAGCCCAAGAAGGCCTGTGAGCCCAAGTGGGCAGCACGTGCTCCCCCTGAGAGGCATGACGGATGGAGGGTCCCTAAGCTCGGCCCCCAGATGGTAGATCCCGACGACACTCTGTTTTACAGGCCGTGCACTATACAGCCGGCAGCAGGGCAGCACGACGGCTGAGACGGGGCTGAGCACCGCGGAGCTGCGTGCAGAGGGGCTGGCCCTGTGCACAGGGCTCCTGGGTCAGCAGGGCTCCCGGCCCAGGGACAGGCTCTGCGAGGGAGGGTCCCGGGTGGGGGGTCTGGAGGGGGCAGGGCAGGCGACCCCACCTGGTGCCTCTGCCTGGCATGCTATTCCCTGGCCGGGCTCCTGCCCCACCTCTGGGCTGGCCAGGCGCACTCTCCTGGGGACTGTCATGAGGGCTGGGCTCTAAGGACATGCGTTTGGTACTGGACAGGCGGGGAAAAGCAGGGCTCCATCCTCCCTGCTCCTCATGGCACCTGGTACTCAGGGCACAGAGGCGTCTGCGGCCTCCCGGAGGGAAGGGCAATGGGGAGACACCACTGTTGACCACTTCTGCCCCACAGTCTGGCATCAAGCGACCCGCCAGCCTGATGACCAGGCAGACAAAGCACATCCACACGGTGCGATCCAGCCCGAGCGAGGACGAAGCCCTGACCCCTGCTCCGACGTGATGACCCTGGAGGACGCTGCACTCAGGGAGGGGCAGGTGCAGCCCGGCCAAGCCCATGTGACCCACTTACAGAGGGGGGTAAGTGGTCAGACTCATAGGGACAGAAAGCAGAAGGGTGGCTGTCAGGGCTGGCGGCGGGGGCTTGCAAGGGTACAGAGTTTCCAGTTTGCAAGATGAAAAAGTTCTTTAAGCAGTTATCCCTGCTTAGAGACAAGACATGAGGGTCACAGAGAGGTTAGGCGATGGCCCAAGCCACACAGCTGTGCGTGGCAGAGCCGGGATGTGAGTCCAGCAGCCCACGCTCTCAGCGCCTCACTAAACCAGCTTTGCAAGATGGAGATGGATGGTGGCATGACACCGCAAACGTACTTAATGCCAGTAAGCACTTAAAAGCGGTTAAGATGGTACATTTTCATTTTACTTTAAGTGTTTTTTTTTTTTTAAACTACAAAAACGAACCTGTCATCCAGAAGTTTTGGTTAGATGGGTCAGCAATGACCCATCCAGACACCGGCAGGGGCATAAGGGGGCTTTCCTTGCAGCGGGGCTGGGTGGGCACCTGTGTGTGGTCCCAGTGCGTGGCCCTCCTGCTGGCTGTCACTTGGGAGCATTACCATGAGGAAATATGCACAGGGCACGCCTGGGGGACGCAACCCCAGGGGTTCCAGATGAACTGCTAAGAGTGAGCAAGACGTGGCCAGAGGATGGAATGCACACACACACACGTGCACTCACACGCATGCATGCATGCACACACTGGAACACACAGGCACGCACACGCAAGGCAGCCTGCTGGGTCTCCAGTCTCGGGTGTGGGGAGGGGTGGAGGCTGGAATGCTGGTTCTCAGAGGGAGATTTACAGGAGGGAGAGGAAGTTAATATCGGCAGGTGATGAGTTAGGTGAGTAATGCTTCGGCTTTAGTTCAGAAGCTTTCTGAGGGAGAAAGAAAAGAACCTGCTCAGAGGCAGTACGGCAACCCAAGCAGAGCCACCTGGGAGCAGAGCGGGTCCGGGGCCCAACGGGCAGCCCCGCTGTGAGCCGGTCCGTCCTTCTGCTCCGTGCTGTGCGGGGAGGGCTTCCCCGGAGGCCTGGTGTGGCCACTCCACTGGCCGTACCTTCCAGTAACTGGGCCTCCAGGGATGCGGCCTGACACCCCGAGTCCTCTCTGACCTCCAAGGGCATCGGGTCAGTGACGGGGGAGGGGGCTGAGGACGAGCCTGGATTTCCTCAGGCTGCAGAGGCCGCCCGGGGGACCCCAATCAGCTAATGGGGACCCAGGGCTTCGGGATTGGGCTGAGCGGAGCTGGGAGCCCCCGGAACCGGTCTGGAGCCAGCGAGGGCCCCGATGGCTCACCCAGCCTGAGGATTTCCAGGCTGACCTCGCCCCTCCGGTCGGAGTGTGCAAGCACATACCCTGCAGGCTGATGATTCACTGGTTTAATTAAGGTTTCCAGTGTATTTTTAATGCGTTGCCTGTGGCCTGAACCAGCTGACCTTCCCTGGGGCCCTGTCAGGATAGTTCAGCTGGGTCCTCCTGGGCCAGCTATCATGGGAGGAGAGCGAAGGCCTGTGCCGGCTGGTGGGGGAAAGGAGCCCGGCTCTCAGGGTGGGCCTCTTACCCCGAGCCTGGGGGGCTGCTCCTGCGGTCCTGCTGCCTGTCTCTGTCCTGCAAGAGCACAGGGGACCTGAGAGAGGGAGGGGTGGGCATTGGGAGACTCAGGTCACAGTCTGGGACAAGGCACCAAAGTGCTGTGTGACCTGAAACAGGAGTGGACCCTCCCTGGGCACCGGCTTCTTTATCTGCAGAAAGAAGGAAGCGCCTGCAGCCACAGAACCCTACTCCCAGGCCAGGCCGTCTGCTGGCCTCATCGCTAGTCCACGGTCCCCAGACCCGTTCCCTCTTCCCTTTGCCTTCTCGGCTGGTGGGCTCCCCACTCCTGCCTCCTGCTCCTGGGGCGTCCGTCATGGAGAGCTTGCCAAGGGAAGCGGTGTAATCGCGGTGGGAAATGTTCACATGCTTCGTGCTCCTTTCATTTCAGATGAGGAGATAGAGGCTCCTGAGATTCTGTCACCCAGAGAGCGGCCGACACAGCTGGGCCTGGAACTGGGCTCAGCCAGCTGACCGCTAATCCCGTCTGGCCCAGGGCCCCTCTCGCTCCGCTGGACCTTAGGTCCAGGGCTGGGAGCCCAGGCAGAGCCCTCACGTCCCCACCGAGATGCTGGCGGAGGCCGGAACCTCATTTGCCCCTTTTACCTTGAACACACGGGGGCTAAGGAAATGCTCTTTGGGGGGGGGGGGGGGTCGTCTGCTTCCCTGGGGACCTGGCAGTGTTTATCTGCAAAGGCAGACACACACCCCACCTCATTTTCTGTCCCCGGAGAGTGGTGAGGGCTTATTAACCGGCCACGCCCCCATCACAGGGGAGGAGGAAACTGAGACTCAGGGTGGCTGGGAGACGGAAGCAAGGCCACACGCTGGGCCCCTCGGCACGCCTGGCACCAAGTAGGCTGTTCCCTAAGTGTCTGTTAGGTGAAATCTTAACTAAATGAGTAATAAAAAAAATTGCTAAGCAAAGCACTCCTCACGTTCTAAGTGAGTACCACGATTAACTGTAATCCTTATTCCTGCCTCACAAACATCCCGTTATCCCTGCTTAGAGACAAGACATGAGGGGCACAGAGAGGTTAGGCGATGGCCCAGGCCACACAGCTGTGCGTGGCAGAGCCGGGATGTGAGTCCAGCAGCCCACGCTGAGTGCCTCGCTAAACCAGCTGTGTAGAGCCCAGAAGAGCACTTGCCAGGAGAACTTGGGGACGCTGGGCACATCCTACGTGCGTCCACACCATCCAGTATGGTGGCCACAGGCCATGTGCGCTACTGCGCTCTTGAAGCGTGGCTGGTGTGGCTGCGGGATGCCCACCAGGGAGGGAGGGCAGCCCGCCCCACGTCCAGTGTTGGGTTCTAAGGCTTCTGAGTGCTGGTTAAATGAACAGCTCAGAGTCCTGAGCCCGAAGACACTCACGGCCTCCGAGGATGGATTGTTCAACTACTTCACACAGAGGGAAGCAAGACGGAGAGGAGTGAGGCGGAGGTGACCGCATGCGCCCAAGCTTGCACGGCGCTCAGCAAGGACCCGCAGACCGGGTCCCCTCCTAATACCCACAGCCCTGCCCTCTGGTCTCTGCTCCCCCTGCTTCCCTCCCCGCTCCTCATGAAGCAATAATAACGGCTCACGTCTTCTACCTGCAGGGCAGGAGAAACCCTGCTGACAGCTCTAATACTGCAGGCAAGGCTCATCGCCAATCCAGCCAACTCTTGAAGGTCCAGACTGAGACTCCCCACTTTTGGGCTTATCGGTGGCAAAGCCCTAATCCCTGCCAGGCGCTTGGCTGGAAGGCCGCTGTCCCGCTGTCAGCTGGTGCGCTCAGGGAGTACAGATTCATTTTAATATTGGCTGGAGCTAAACCTCATTAGAAAAGTAAATTTGCTGTAGCTGCGGAAAAAAAAAAAAGCAACCCACACAGTCCTTCCTCCTAAAGCTAAACAGGAAACCTGATTTGATTTTGGATTGTTTGACGCTTTACATCCCCAGCACTGGCCCAGAGCCTGGAACACAGTAGGTGCTCAGTGAATGTGTGTGGAAGGGGGCTTTTAAGCGACTTCCGCCCACTCTGCCAGCTTCTAGCACGGATACCAAGAGGCCACCGGCCTGGGGTTCTCGTCAGTTGTGTGGATTTTTGGGGACAACCACTGTCTGAGACGTGCAGTGACCACACTGACCACCGATTAGACACGGGACCCATGTTGCTGCCATTCGGCAAGGAGACACCAAGCATGTCTCGATGCAGAGGCATGGCAGGGGCTGGACAAGGCCCAGAGTCCGGAGGCGTGGGAGTCTGAGGGGAGAGCCGGCAACAAGGCCAATGTGACCGGCCCCAGAGTGGGCCAGAGAATTGCTACTCCAAATTCTAGAGCCATCCAGATCCCAGAAGAAGGTGGGGAGGTGAACGCAATGCAGACGTTACAGTAACATCCACTGAGCACTTCACCTACAAACAGCCTGGTGGGAGAGGCTCCTGGATTTATGGGCCTTCGGGAAACCAGGGCTTAGAGGGCTCCGCTTTTCCCAAAGTCCACCCAGCTGGTCACAGAGGGGCTGAGGCTGCCCCGGCCTGGCCAAGCCTGTGCCCTGCACGGCACTACCTCCCTGCCCCCCACCCCACGCTCTCAGCAGGGTTCCCAAAGGCCTTCTGGCCTGGAGGTGCAGGAAGGAGGTTTTCCTTTTCCTTCTCCCCAGGTGCTGGATCCCCCAGAGTCCACTGTACCCTGGGGCCGGGAAGGGTGTGGGGCAGGCACCAAGAGATGGGTCTCCCTGAGAGTCCCAGATCTCACAGCCTGTCCCCCTTCTGCCTGAGGACCTCCCTCTGAACCCCACATTCATCCGAGCCTCGGGAAGAGCCCTCCTCAGTAGGCCGTCCCCCCTGCTCCACGGAGGGCCTCCTGCCCTGGCTGATGGCTGCCGGCGGGGGCATCCTGGAAGGAGGCCCGAGGCTGGCCCACCCGTGCCCCTGGGCCCCCGTCATCTGTGCCTCCGTGTCTTTGTCTGCTGTCTCTCGCGCTTGCCTGCCTGCCTCAGGCTCTCAGATTCTCTCTCTTCCCCAGCCCTGCCCCTCTCCCCCTTCAGTTCTCAGCAGAGGGGAGTGCTCAGGCCTCTCCACCCCAGCTCAGGCCCTCCTCCGGCCAAAGCTGAACCAACACGCTCCCTGATCCTAGAGCCTGGCTCGGGGCAGCTCACCCTGCCGAACCCGCCACGCTTGCAACGCTCCTGCCCTGCCTCATACGCCGTGCCACGACCAGAGAGGTACAGCCGCCCAGGGCCCCTCACCCCTCGCCCTTCAAAACTACGGTGGGAAAATGCAGGTCCGTCCAGAGGCCCGATGCCGGGGACAGGGCGGGCCCCACCGGCATCTTCCTCTGGAGCCCCCGGTCTCTGCCTGTCCCCATGCTTCAGGTGGACGGTCAGTGCCTGCTGGTCCAGAAACCTCTGTGCACGTACTCAACCCAGCACCTGTGAGCCTCCAACAGGCGTGAACAAGGAGGGATCCCCCAGCATCTGCGGGTCAGGTACAGAAACGGGCACAGCAAGCCACTCGGCGCCGGTGCTGAATGGGGCACAAATCCATCAACCCTCCCTGTTCCATAACCTGGGCAAGCCTTCCCGCTCCCATCCAAAGGGGCACAGGGGAGTGCATGCAGCTCCAGAACCTTTGGGGGTGATGGGCATAGACTGGGCACAATGGATAGTCTCTTTGAAGGTCTCACGGGGAAGGGTCTTTGTTCCAAACAAAGGAAGGGGGGGACTTGACGTTTGGCCCGGTACGGGCAGTAGCCGTCACCAGCTAAGCAGGTTTGGGAGGAAATGTCTCAATCTCTGTGGTGAGGGACAGAAGGCAAATCTCAGAGGACCCTGGAGCCACCGTCCTGTGAAGCCACCCGCCCCACGACGCCAGTAACTTATGCAGCTGTGCCCCGTTTCCACACAACCACACTGGAGGCACCACAGGCTCTGTACTGGGACATCCGTGCCCAGTCCTTTGAACTGGTACATGTCGCACAGCCCAAGCTCCCGATGGGTACCCCACCCAAACTGGTACCCACGCAGGTAGGGCTGTCCCCAACAGCCTGGGGCGACCAACCATCCACAAGGCCGGCTTCAGCATCCAGCGCAGAGAGCTCCCCGGAGCCCCTGAGACCCAGTTTCTACAAGAATCCAGGCAAAGGGTGCCCAGCTGAGACTAGGCCCGGCCAGGGGAGGTCGGGGCAGGGGGGCCGGTTGGGGCCTTGTTTACGCATCTGTGTCTGGGTGGGTGCGGTCTCTCCGACCTCAGCTGCTGGGTCCTGGGCTGTCCCCAGGCACAGTTAGATCCCTGGCCTCCTACTCCAGTCTCTCCTGCCTCACCTCTCTGTTCCTTCTCAGAAGTTGCGGGCTCTGGCTTGGGAGGGACTAGGACCCCAGGCCGGAGCCCGGCGGCGGAGGGCGGGTGGTGAACTTGGTCGTGCCTCCCCCGCCCCCTGCACTGTACGTCCTAAGGACGCTGGGTCCCCTCGCCACCGCTCAGCCCCTCAGCCTCCCGGCAGAGTTTCAGAGACTTAACTTGCCAGTGGCTGGAGCCTCAGAGCTTGCGGACGACGCTGGGAAGCCGCTGCGGCGGGTGCTGGCCCCCGACTCCCGGCCACCGGGAACCACCTGCTGAGGTGGGGAGGGAGGAGCCAGCGAGCTAAGAGCCCGGCCGGTTGTTGGAAACTGCCGAGAACCAGCTTCCCCTTCCCGCCGGCCCGAGGAGGGCAGGCATCGCCCAGGTTTGGTTTCGCAGCCCCTCGGCGGCGGCAGCGCCTTCCGCCCCGGCCAGGTCCCCAGCTGGCTCTCCAGCCGCCCCACTGCACGCACAGCCATACGCGCGCGCGCGCACACACACACACACACACACACACACACAAACACACGGGCGCGCGCATACGCACCCGGGTGGACATGGCGCGGGGACCGATGCGGAAGCATAAAGGGGCTCTGTGCGCGGGCAGCGGGGGCACTGACCTGCGGCGGCGAGTCCGGATCGTCCCCGGCGCGCTCCATCGCGGTGGCGGCCCCTATGCGCCGGCCCCAACGCCCCCAGGCTGTTGGCCCGGGCCGCGCGCGCCTCCAGCCCCGGGGGCTCTCGGGTTGCGGGCCCCCGGGGGCCCCTTCATCGCTGCGGAGTCCGCGCCGCCCGCCGCCCCGGCCCGGCCCTTCTGCGCTCGGCGAGGCGGCGGCCGAGCCCGGGAGCGCGCGGGGGGCGCGGGGCGGGGAGCCGGGAGGGGAGGCCGGGGGCGCAGAGAAGAGCGGGGCGGGCGGGCCCGGGCGCAGGGCGGAGGCGCGGGCACACCGGGGCGCGCGGCCGGAGCCCAGCCGTCCGGGCCGGCGCGGAGTCCCCTCGGCGGCGGCGGATGCGCCCGGGCGGCCGCTTCTGTGACAGCGCCGCCAGCCCCGCCCCCGCCCCGCGCCAGCCCCGCCCCGCCTCCGCTCCCCGCCCCGCCCCCGTCCCCGCCCCCGCCCCGAGCGAGCGCAAGCAGCCGGCTGGACCCGCACAGCTGATGGTCGGTACCACCCTCGCGGGCTGAGGCGGGGCGCGAGGAGGGAAGGACCCCGGAGTGGTACCACCCTCGCGCCCTCCCCGGCCGAGCCGGCCCCGGCCCCTCGCGCTGGAGCTGGGCTGCGGGCGGGGCGACACCGCCAGGCCTCGCTCTCGGGAGTTAAAGCCCTCCAACCCCCACCCCGCCTCCATCCAGGCCGTTCCTGGCGCCCAGCCTGGCAGCCTTTCTCAAAGGGTGATTGTTTCCGGGCTGGGCAGTTGGGGGGCGGTTCTCTGGGACAAGGAGGCAGAGCGGGAGAGTGGGGAGGGTGGGGCCCCCCCTTGACTTCAGGCACCCGGAGAGGGAGGTGGCCGGTGGGGGCGGGTGGTACCTGCCCGGATACAGGGTGCCTATGGGGTGGAGCTGGGGGGGTCCTCGGCTGTCGGGGCACTGCTGCCTTGTCGAAGGCACGCCAAGCTGCTGTGGGTCAGCCTCCCCACCTCCCCCTATCAAAGGACCCTGGACTTTCCAAAGAGAAGGCAGCAGGCCATGTGGGGGATTGGAGAGAGGCTGGAAAGGGATAACAGGAGCAGAGAGGAGCAAAGGGCCAGCAGGTATCCGGAAATGTCAAGGGCTCCTTGGACCAAGAAGCCCCTGCATGTTCCTTGCTTGCGTGTGCCCCGTGGGCTGGGGGTGTGAGTCCTATGCGTGCGCATGAGAATGTATGGGATGCAGCTGTAGCCCTCCGTGGAGATACTTCCAAATGCTCTTTTGTCAAGTTGCCGGAGACTTAGAAGTCATCCTTGTATATGTTTTGAGGGTTTGCACTCCCAGCGGTCCTTCTGGACATCTGTAGTCAGGGCCACCCTGGTCCTCCTTGCAGCCCCAGGAAGGCCAGCTCCAGTAGGTGGGGTTCTGGCCCCAGCGGGACCGGAAACATGTCAGTGCTTTTTAGTTGCTCAGAGGCCTCCGTCCCTCACTCGGTGACTGACTCTCGACCCTCTGTCAGGTGTTTCTGGATCAAAGTGCTACCACTGGGCACCGTGTCTCTGTGCATTGGGGGACCCCTTCCCCTGTCACCTTCTCTGGCCTGATCAGTACGGAGCCGGGCCCTGCTTCTCGTGCTGAGTATGTGAGGCAGGTGGGGCTCGGGTAGAAGCAGGCGTAGGGGCTTCACAATTAGCTGCTTTGGTCAAGGTCTTGAAGTGAGGAAAGGGTCCCACCGAGCATACCGTCTCAGGGACATTTGAAAATATAGTTAATTACTACCTCTAGGGACAATTGTCCCTTCCTCCACTCCCTCTTCCATCCTTGTGTTTAATGGCCCTCTATGCCATCAGGGAAGTTCTGCCAAATCTAACCTGAGTATCTCCTGCTGCAGTGCAGGATCCTTTCTTCATTCTTGTAATGAGGCAGGAATTACAGCAAGTCCTACTCTGCTTTTTCCTTCCCTGTTGGAATAATCCTTGCTCCTTGAGACTGCTGAGAGGCCCTCTCCTGATTCAGTGCTCTCCTTGCCTCCTCGTGGACAGTGGGGGTGGGGGGAAGAGGACCGTGCAGAGGAGCCCGGGGCGGGGGGGAGGGCCTGGCCTTCACTTTGCATGGATACCCACTGCCCCATTGAGTCATGTGGTACAAAGGGCAGGGTAGAAACCACCCGGAGACCTTTAGCTCTGCCCTCATCTTACAGACGGGGAAGAGAGAGTGTGGAGAGTGGGTGTGAGGACATGACGGGGTCACCGCGTCCCTCCACCAGTTCCCCCAGGATGAGGCACTGCCCCCAGCTGCTGAGCTCGGGGGAGGCCGTGTGGAGGCCTGGCTTTCAGGCCGATTCTCAAGGCCCTGCCTGAGTGACCCCCTCCCTGGCCGCCAGTCTCTTCAGGAGCAGTCAGTCGAGAGGTTGGACTCACTGTTCTGGTCCTGACCGCTGCGGCCAGGCCAGTGGGCCCTCTCTGCAGCTGTTCCCGCCTGCCCTCCCTTTGTCTGGCAGGAGGGGAGCCAGATGGGACTGGGCGGGGTGACGGGATGTACCCTCACCATTGCTGGAAGAACAACAGTGACAGTAAACCCTTTTCTAGGGACCTGTCTTGCAGTGTAGCCCCAGGCTGTGTTTATGGAATTTTTAAATTTTAATTTTTAGAGCCAACTTAACACAATAAAATAGGATTAAAATTAGCATGGTAAGGTTCGGTGAGGAGAGGACAGCTGCCATTAGTTTCGGTGGGAGGTTTTGGCAACACCCCAAGTGCGTGGACACACACAGATGCGCACACAGCTATGTGGACACGAAACATGCACACAGAGGCAGGTACACACGCAGACACACGCACCTACGCCCTCTGATACCCCGCAGGCACATGCACATGCGTGGACCCCCGCACACAGGCAGACACGCGTGTGCACACCCACCAGCCGCCACAAAGTGGTTGCTGAACGGCTGCCTTCCTGCCCGTTCCCTGTCTTCCTGTGGGCCTGTCAGGTCTGTGGAAATCTCTCCCTTCCACATGTGGATTTAGAGCCCTGGCTCCAGACATCTGGAGCAGCCCCTGGGTCTCCAGAATGACTGACCGTCCCCTCCGACCTCTTCCCCTGCCAGGACTGAACCCCTCTGCTCAGAGGCCCCCAGAGCCTAGCGCTAAAGCGTTTAGTATGCAAAGCCGAGTCTGTCCTCAGGGACAAGCCTTTATGTGTCTATTGTGCAGTTAAGCCTGACGGGAGCCCTGCCCCGCTCTGGTCCTGGCCCAGCTCCTACCATCTGCCCCCCAGAAGGGTCCCATAAAGCCATCATCTGCAATGCAAAACCCGTGAAACATCTGGAAGGTTCTGTGGACTTTCTCCAGTCACCTGTGCCCTAATTTAGTATGAATAACAATTAGTTTGCTCGTATCAGCTAATTGTCCCCCTTGTGGGCTCCCTCTGCCTTGGCCCTCTTTCTGCAGGAGCTCTGTTTGCTCCTGATTTCTAAAGATGCTTCCTTTGCCGACAGCCCTTTCTGCTCCCCTGCCCCCCTTCACCCCCCCTCCCCCACCCGAGGTGCAGGAAAGCAGCTGAGCCGCTCCCCCCTGGGCCGCTGGGATCCAGTGCCCCCCTTCCCTATCTCATTGCTGGGACCCCCATTTCTAGGAGCCACCCCCCCCCACCCGGAATCTACAGCAGTGGTGTTGCTGATGTGAGTGTGAAGGTCCAGGGAGAGCCCTCACCACGTGCTGCAGGTGCACAGGCCTCCCTCTTGGCGGGGGGGAGGGGAGGAGGCACAGCTGCCCCCTACCCAACCAGGGAGGCGGGGCGAGCCTTGCGGCATCTGGCGGGCACGCGTGAAATGCCCCCGGTGGCTCTGGCTGGCCGTGCACCTGTTGTTTCGGGTGGTTGAGCTCAGGGCCCGGAGGGAAAGGGAAGGAGGCCTTTCAACTCTCCTTCACTGGGTTGGTCAGAGCTCTGGACCCTGAACGTTCCTGTTTCCCGTGACAAATTGGAAATCATCCTTTGGTCACCAGGAAGCTCAGCCGCCCTCCCCTCTCCCTCCCCTCCTGGCCGTCGGGCTGGCATTCTTCCCGAGCTGAAGCAAACTTCTGCGTCCACAGGAAGAGGCCGTCCATGGCTTCAGACTGCTTCAGTGATGGAATTTTTGTCTCGCTTTGTTTTCCCTAGGCGGAGGGAGGTGTGAGAGGCGGCGGGAGGGCCCTGGACTTGGAGGGGCGTCTCCTTGAGGTGAACGTGGGAAGAGAAAGCAACCCAGGTGGCCCTTGACCTGCCCACTGCTCCCTGACTGCTCCCCCAAGCCCATTACCCCCAGTCCCTCTGGAGCCCCTTACGATCTGGGCTGGGGTCAGTCGAAGAGCAAGGCCTAGGTCCCCCAGATCCCCCAGCTCTGGCCCTGTGCTCTCTTTAGGCAGCCTCTCCGGATTCCCAGGCCCCAGGAGATGGACCGCCTTCCTCAAGTCCTGTCACACTTCTTCCGGTCTAACCCGGAGGCTCTTCTTGATGTGTGCATGCCTTCGTGTGCCCAGCTGACGCTACGTGCCCGTCATGAGCTCCTGTGTTTCGCTAGGCGCTGTTCTGGGCGCCAGGATGTAGCAGGAAATACAGCCGCTGGCAGAGTTAACTTTGATGAGGCCCTTTGTGTGTGCCAGGCGCTGTTTGGAGTCTTCGCGGGCAGTAACAAACTCCATGACGTAAGGTATTGTCTGTGACGTGCTGCTTGTGCTCAGGTTCTGTTATAAACTTTATCTTATAGGTCAGGAATCTGGGGCGCAGTATTCAGGTGATTTAATCAAGGTCGTGTGTGCAGTAAGTGATAAAGTTGTCATTTGATGCCGGCAGGCTCGTTCCAGGACTCAGCGCTGCTCATCACCCGGATCGGCAGGTGGAGAGCCAGGGAGAACCGTTGGAGCGGCTCTTCACAGCCGAGGGCCAGGGAGGCCCCTGTGAGAGGTCACGGTCCAGCCGGGACCCACGGCTGCGTGTGGAGCTGGAGGCTGGGGCAGGAGTGGGGATGGCAGCCGGCAAAGCTGGGGGGAGGGGGATCCCTGCGTTTGAGAAACAAAATCGAGCAAGTGCCGGGGAGTGGAGACCAGGGACAGCGCGGTGGGAGCTGGGGTTTGAGGACGCGCGTGTGTGCCTGACCCCCGCACTCCTGTCTTCCAGGGAGGAGTGTTCAGGAACATGACGGGTGTGGTCCTGACTCCCCTGCCCGGCCCCCCAACGGCCAGGCGGGGGTGGAGGTGCACATCCCAGACCTTCGGGGTCGGCAGAGCTTCTGCCGAAGTGACTCCCTGCCCCTGAGCCAACACTCACCCTCCGCCCTGGGATTTGGAAGAGCTGGGGCAGCAGCCAGGTCTTCCCTATGGGAACTCCTTCATTCCTTCAGCCACCTGCCAGCAGCTCCAATCGGTGCTGAAAAGAGGGAAGCGAAAACCCAGCTCCTGCTTTCAGCCCGATGGCCCCCTCCCTCAAGCCTTAGGTTTCTGTGTTTCAGCTTCGCCGTCTGCTCCTCCCCACGTGAATCCCCTGGACTCTTCGCAAGGAAGGAAGAGAAATACGGAGGGACGGGTTGTCTGTGTGTGTGTGTGTGTGTGTGACAGGGGCAGACCGAGACCTGGGCAAGGACGGCTGCTGACAGCACACACAGGAGCAGAGGAGGGGCAGCCGTGGGCAGAGGCCCCCACTTTCCCTTTGTCGTTACCCGAGATGCTGGGTGTGATGACGTTCTGGGTGGGAGAGGAGGAAGAGGAGAGTAAAACAGTCGCAGGGAAGTTTCAGACTTAGAGGAGTGAGTTTTCTACCAGGCACCTTCTGAAAGAGAAGTTTTGCATTAAAAGGTTTGAGAAACCTTTTTGTGCTCAGTGTATCAGAAGCAGGTCTCTCTCCTCCCTCAGGATTCCTCAGGCCTGTGAATTCCTCTCTCCCTCCCTCCGTTTCTCTCTCCCTCCCTCTCTCTCTCTCTTTTTCTTCCTTCCTTCCTCCCTCCCTCCCTCTCTCCCTCCCTCCCTCCCTCTCTCCCTCCCTCCCTCTCTCTCTTTTCCTCCCTCCCTCCCTCCCTCCCTCCTTTCCTTCCTTCCCTCCTCTTTCTCTCCCTGGAGCCAAGAGAATGTCACACACCAGGCAAGGGATGCTCAGAATTTGCTGGCCTGATGCTCTTGTCATTCTGCACGTGGCCTGCTCTAGCTTTGGGGAGTAGGAAAGAGAACTCACACTTGGGGCTTCCTGAAGCCTCGTTGATCTTGGGAAGCTGATGGGCTTGGTGAGGCAGTCCAGTGTGTCAGGATTTCTGGGAAGCAAGAAAGAGGAAGCATGGGCGGATGCACGGAAAGGGTGTGAACGTTCAGGATCAAGATTTTCCTCGACGTTGGGAAGAAGTGATGGGCCGAGGCCACTGGAAGCCTGGACACAGGCCAGCATCAGGCCCTTCCGTGAGAGCCCAGGGCCGGCAGTCCTGCCCAGACACGGAGCCCCCAGGCCAGGTGGCTGCTCCCCGGGGCCATGCCCAGGGATGGCTGCACCTGGGCCTTCACCTAGGGCTGCTCCTGTCTGTGTACACTTGGGGTCTCTTCCGGGGGGTGGGTGACCTGTCTTCAAGCAGCCTGTGATGGATGAAGGGCAGGAGTCAGGGAGTCCTCTTATGGGGCCCTCAGGGTCAGGGCACACGTCTGACAGTCCTAATTCTCCAGCCCCGCTTTCTGCAAATGGATGGTCATTTTGGACTTTCTGATCTCTCATTCCTCATTCAGCAGAGCAAGCACCGTAAATCCCCAGCAATGTAGGTTTTACAGCCTCCCATGTACACATGTGCGCTTCAGCACCAAGGCCAGCGCCACTCACATCACGTGTGTTCTCGCATCTGGACACCAGCAGTATCGAGACTCGGGACGCCCCTTGGGCTTGGCAGGAGGGCCACATGTCGTGGGGGCCAGGCTCACAGACGGCCCGTTTCCAGGCCCCGTATCTGTGTTTCTTTGAAAAGGACAGGACCTTCCTTAAAGTGACAGCCAGACGAGGCATTGAGTAGGACAAAGTATTTGGGGGAGGACCAGAGACGGTTGGGAGGCCCATATTCCAGGCGAGGGGACGAGGGGAGCTCAAGGAGGCCCACCAGCCGGTTCAGCAGTTGGTTGTGGTGTGAGGGTGCGGTGTGAAAAGTCTGAGCCGCCTGGGGTGAGCAGGGCGCGTGTCACGGGCCACGGTGGGGTTTGCCGTGAGTGGGTGGGAGGATGGTAGTGGCTGTTTCTGCCGACTGGGTAACATCTCAGATCCCTGAACTCCCAGGATTATTTTAGCCACTCAAAGATCAGTGGCTCTATGTGTTCTCTTCTTTCCGTTCTTTTAAAAAAATCACCCTCATTTGTGCACTCGTTCAGCTGCCGTTTATGGAGCACCTGCTGGTCTCTGGGCAGCTTGGTGACTTACCCTCCATGAGCTTCCGGTCCAACATGGAAGGGGGCAACTAAAGACACATGACATGTGGGACAAAGACGCTGCTGTGAAACTGGTGATGTGTTCTTGGTGCAGTGGAGATGGGATGTGGTCCTGGCTCAGGGCTCTCCACATCAGGTTCCAGCATTGTCTGCACGCTGGTGCCCACCTGGCGGAACCTGGAGGGGGCTTTCCATGGCCCAGCTGCAAGGGCCAGAAAAGAGGTCCCCAGTGGGCCATCAGGTTGCTGGAAACCCACCTTGAGAAGTGGCTTTTGCCTATCGATGCGACAGTCCGCCTGGACGCCTGTGGTCACCCGCACACCACCTGGCAGAACTCCATGTTTGCTACACGGGAAGGCCTAGCAGATCCCCAATTTGAAACCACCTTAAAGCTCCTAGCATTTTTTGAGGGGTACTGGGATGCCCACATTCCAGATTAAGGGCTCAGGGGAAGGATGGGAGTGTGTTGGCAATGAGTGGACTTGGGAACACCACCAGAGATGCTGGGACGACCTGTCCTAATGACCTTTCTCCTTGTTCCCTGGTGAACCGCTATCATCTTGTGAATTTCAGCAGACTCGCTTGTGGTAGACCGGGCTTAAGAAGCCTTCAGCGACGGAAAGTGGACATGTTAACTTCACACCTGGGCCCACAGAGGTGCACGGAGGAGAGGAAGCTGCCCAGGCCGCATTGCATGACACTGGTCCTCCTGCAGCAGGCCCAGGGAGCCAGGACACGACAGCGGTCGGGGCCTCCTGAGGCTGAAGGCTGCAACCCTATTCATTCATCACAGTGGTGAGCAGTGAATCTTTCTGCCTCTATGGAAGATCCCACAATTAAACAGGCAGAGAAATGTATTTCATAAAATATGTATATTGTTTGCTTCATACAAAAGCATTTTAATCTCTCTTAGCTCATAGCCAAGATGAGCAATGCGGGGATCAGTCTTTCACTGCACATTGGAAAGGCTCTGGGCAGCAGCATCTTCCGGGGTGACTGCTTGTCCCGTGGTCTGCATCAGCCATCATCACTATTAGCGCCGTCACCACCATCAGCACCACCAGTAGCATCACCACCGTCTCCACTGTCCATTTGGTCAGTGCTGTATAATTTCACATCCTGCAGGAGAACAGACTGTGTCTTGCTCGTTAAATCAGCCCTTTCACCTGGTACAGTGTTCAGTACCTGCTAGACGCCAAAGGAATATCAGATGCTGTGAATGTTTATTAAAAATGAATGAATGAATAAATGAGGTTTCACCTATGTTAGGGTGTTTGTTTGTTCCTAAGTAAACCCCAGGAGATAATCTCACCAGCCCCAGTCATACATAAGGAACGGGAGGCCCAGGTGGGTACGTTGTCCTGACCTGGCCCTGTCTTGTGGTCTGACCTCCCAGGGATGAGTGTCCTGCTCTGGCCAGGCATTCTTCCCTGGGTAGAATCTGGGCCCCGGCCTCCCTGCCCTTGCCTCCCTCCTGGCCCTGGCTGGGTGCCCCGCTAAGGGCTGAGCCAGCCCTCACCCCACTGGTTCTTGCGTCCTATCAGACTAACCTCGCCGCGTGGATAATGGCTCCTGCCAGCCCAGAGCCTGGGGGGCGAACTCTTTATTATCAGATGGAGCTGGCACTCAAGGACAGTGGACTAAATTGACTGTATTTTCCAAATCACCCAGCTTCTAATTCTATCTGGGAGATGGACCAATTTGAACAAGAATTAGCTTCGCAATGGAGAATCCCAGCCCTTGACCAGGAAGGGAGGAAAGGGTCTTTGTGAAATCAGGTGGAAGAAGGTTTGTGGGCTTGTGATGGGCACAGAAGCTTCCCCAGAAAAGGGCCCTGTGTGCAGAGGAGCTCAGGTATGGCTGGGACAGACCCCCACCGCTTTCTGCTGCCCTGCTTTCTCCTTCTACCTGGACTTTGTGATGGTGTCACAAAGCCAGCTCGGGGGGTCCTGGGCTTGTGTGCTGCCCCCTGGCCCCTGGACAGAACCAAGGCAGTGGGAAGAGGTGGGATGAAACCCCCCCTACCTCAGAGTGAGTGGGACCCACAGGCCATCCGTCCAGCCCTGCAGGATACTCACCCTTCAGGCAGCACCCCTGAGAGCAGCCTTTCCTGCTTCTGTTCTATCCCAATGCCAGAGGCCCGTTGGCCTTTGACACAGCCCGTTCCAGCTCGGTCTGCTCCCTGAACTGAGAAGTTCTTTCTACTGAAACCGAAAAGTGCCTCCTTTTAACTCTTTGGGCCGTGTCCTCGAGGGCGGTGCCTCTCAGACCCCAAGGTTCTTACTTAGGAATCTCCCGATTCTGATTATAGAGTCTGATGAGAACGTAGATGCTGACTGGGTAGGCCCGAGATCCTGCATTTCTAAAAAGTTCTGAGGTGATGCTGCTGCCCTGGGTCCCTGAGGTTCACCCTGAGTAGCGAAGGCTCGTGGGCTCAGGACAGGGTAAGAGTTTGGAGGCAGTGATAACATCCATCTTTCAATTTCTTTTCACCAACGTAAACTCCTACATTCCACTAAGTTCATAGCAAACAAGTTTTATCAATTCGTAGATTGTTGAGTCTGGAGGAGACATCCTTCTAAAGAAATCTTCCTTAAATTTTTTCATCTTGCAGATGAGGAAACTGAGGCCCAAGAGGGTCGAGAGATTTGCCTAAAGTCACAAGGCTGGCAGAGCCAGGAAGGCTGGGCTGAGCCGGGGTCTTTTCTCCTCGGGGTCCGAGGGGTGGGTGAGAGAAGGCATGGGATGTGGTCCCCCAGCCTCTGTGTGTGGGGTTCCCTCACTGATGGGCCACAGGATTCAGGATGGTGGGGCTTAGCTGGTCCTGCATGGAGACAGGGGAGTGACAGGAGGAGGAGGGGTCCGGAGAGGCGGGAAGAGCTGTGCAGGATGAAAGCAGGAAGAGGGCGAGGTGATCACGAAGAGGTGCTGACGGTGGACGGAGGGACGAGGGACTGGATCCCTTAACGCGTGCTGGAGAAAGTGGGCCGGTGCTTCTGGTCCCGCAGCACATCTGGCCCCGCATGGTCCTCACCTCCGAGCAGCGTTTCCTGGTTACTTACCTGCTTCCCCACCTGCGTGCAATGAGCGTCTTGATGGTGGGACACAATGGGTCCACCATTACTTTCCAAACCTAACGCAGGGCCTGGCATACAGCTGGAACTTAATACATATATTTCGAATGCTTGAATACCTGAATAAATAACTAGAAGTAGAGGTCAAAATCTAGGACCTTACAGCCTAATAAGGAAAATTCAATTACTGTCGACCTGAGAAAAATATCTTGATAGGAAAGTGTGGTGAAAATGTGGCAATTAGACCTGGGGTAACCAAGAAGACTCACGGGTTTTGGACACACAGGATGAGGGAGGTTGAAGACTTGATGATAACGCCTAGGTTTGTGGATCAAAGATTTAGGGGAGGGCTTCCCTGATGGCGCAGTGGTTGAGAGTCTGCCTGCCGATGAGGGGATGCATGTTCGTGCCCCGGTCCGGGAAGATCCCACATGCCGCGGAGCGGCTGCGCCCGTGAGCCATGGCCGCTGAGCCTGCGCGTCCGGAGCCTGTGCACCGCAACGGGAGAGGCCACAGCAGTGAAAGGCCCGCATATCACAAAAAAAAAAAAAAAAAAAGATTTAGGGGAAGATGGGGAGAGTCAGATTTCTTAGGAGAAACCAAGGGGTTTCTTTTGGGCATTAAGTTTGAGATGAATGTTAGATATTTGGGGGAAGGTCTGAGGAAGCTGTTGGGTGCGGCCGGTCTCCCTGGGTCAAGAGATGCTCTGGAGGCTGCAGGGGTGGCCTGAGTCCCTGCCCAGACCTACGGCTGAGAGCTTGCGGCCCCAGGCCATGGGGTAGGAGCAGGGAGCGTCACTTGTGGAGCTGTGCTGGGGGCTGACAGCGCACCCCCAGGGCTCACGGGAGTTTGCCGTGGCTCAAGAGACCTCAATGGCTCGAAAGGCCCCGTGACGCAAGTACGGGGCAGCCTCGGAAAACGGAAACACACCCGAGGGTGACAACGACCAAAGCACCCAGAGCAGGCGGCTCTACCAGAGGACACGGGGAAACTTCTGGAACTGAAAGTCATGGGTTCTGAGTCGTAAGATTCAGTGGCTGAAGTGAAGAGGAAGGTGGCACCTCCTGAGAAGTGAATTAGTGCCTCCGAAGGTCAGGTGGAAGAACTATCTCAAATACGGAGCAAAAATAATGAGCTGGGAAGCGTGAGGAGAAAGGAAATGAGACATTTGGAGGACAGATTCCAGAGACTTCACACGTAAACAGGAGAAGCTCCAGAAGGAGAAAGAGGGACAGATGGAGACACAACACATAAAGAAATCACACAGGGACATTTTCTTGGTTTGTCAAAAACCTTGAATCTGGAGATTGGAAAAGCTGGCTGAGTCCTAGATGACACTGGCGAAAATCCACCCCCTGCCCCCCTACCCCGGCGATGCTGGGGGATGGGAAGCTCGTCTCATCCCCCTGCGTCCGGTCCCCTCAGAGCTGGAGAGAGGAGTGTCTTTACCCCAGCACGTTGACGCCCTGTACGCTGACCTGGGAAGAGCTTGGGCGTCTCCGGTCTGATGGGTCCCACGGTCAGGGTGAGGGTGATGGGAAAGCCAGCGGCTTTAGACCACACCCAGCCATGGAGGCAAGACCCAGGCCTGGGGGTCCTGGACATCAGTCCATGTACCCACAGAGTGGGTAAGGGACCAAATCCCAGATGCTCGTGGAGGCAGGTGGTCAAGGAGCCCGAGTCTGGGCTCGGAGGGTGTATTCCAGATGCTGCGGGCTCTCCCTCGAGGCTGCCCTCCCACTTCAGGGGCCTGGGACCAGTGTCTCTAGGCTGCGGGTGAGGCTTGGTGATGTGGACCCGTGCTCCATCCTGTGCGCCTAGCAGGATCGGTGCACCAGGGCAGAGACACCTCAGCATCACTTGGTGTCTCCCCAGGACCAAGGGACCAGGCAGAGCTCTTTGGAAGAAAATGTGTGGAAGCCACAACAAATTCACCTGACAGAACAGGAAGTGCCGGAGCTCTGCACAACCCGGAGCACTGTGACCGCTGACCAGCCTGGACCCCCATGTGAGCGGCGTGGGTGGGCCTGGAGCTGGGCGCTGCGGGAGAGGGTCTGAGGTCCCAGCGCCTGGGGATGGGCCGTCAGGGGTTCGGACGCAGTCTCCTCTGCTGGAGGACCCGGTCCTATTCCCCTCTGTGCTGAGAGCTGGCCCACCTGGCCCCCGGACAGAAGCTGCAGGACGTGGGCTGTTGGGCCCATCTCTGTCCTGCCCTCCTGGACTCGTGCTCAGGAGAAACAGCCATGTTAGCTGATGTGCGCAGCACCTCGTACAGTGTAGAAATGAGTCCCACACATCACCTCTTTGTCCCAGTGATGTTCCGTCCTGGCCGCTGGCACGACCAGGTGGGGCAGGGGTGACTGAGCCTCTTAGGATCACTGGGGACTGAGGCCCTTCTGCAGGTGGAGAGGATGAGAATCTGAGCACTGCTTGGCTGAGTCCCCTGTACCCCCCGAGTCTGCACCCTTGTCCCAGGCTTACGTACGAAGCCTGGGGTCCCTATTCTTTGGCTTTGGGCCTGCACCGCTTACCTTGGACGTGGGAATGGGGTGGAAGTGGCAGCAAACCCCTCAGAGGTGGACCTAAGGGGCCTCGTCCGCCTCGGCCATGGCTGCGAGGTGCGTTGCTGCCGCTCAGCCTGGACCCCAGAATCACCGCGTGTGGAGTGGACCCCCAGCACCTGCCCACCTGCAGCTGGTCTGTGAGGACAAATGGCTGTGGTGTTAACCACGGAGGATTTTCGGGCCCGTCTCTGTTCTGCGGGGTGAGTACGGCAACGGCTAATGGATGCTCTTTGAGAAGGTGTGTCCCCGAGTTCTTCATCCACTTCTGTGAGCAGAGGAGTCCCTGAGGCTGTTGTGAAGACAGACTCTCAGGACCCCAGGGGAGTCTGATCTACTAACTCGGGAGGGGCCCAGGAATCTTCATTTTAGATTCGTGCTTCGCGCTGCAGGGCCAGATGTCTGCCTGCTACACACCGACTGGGGACATGTTCCCAGCCAAGGACTTTGCCTCTCAGAGTCCAGCAGTTTCCCCTGCAGCCTGGGTTCCACAGGGCAGTGTGTGTGTGTGTGTGTGTGTGTGTCTGTGTGCGTGTGTGTCGCAGGGGCACGTGTGCGTGGTGGGGGACGTGTATGGGGTGCAGCTTGGGCCCCCTCTGCGTGCTGTGCCTGGTGTAGTTCTAATCGG